GGACTGGAGGCTAAAACATATGAGGAATGGTTGCAGGAACTGGGTATGTCTAGTTTAATGAAAAGAAGGGGGAGACATGATAGTAGTGTTCCAATATTTCAGGGGTTGCCACAAAGAAGAGGGAGTCAAACTATTCTCCAATGCACCTGAGGGCAGAACAAGAAGCAATGGATGGAAACTAATTAAGGAGAAAAGTAACTTAGAATCGAGGAGAAATTTCCTGACAGTTAGAACAATTAATCAGTGGAACGGCTTGCCTCCCGAAGTTGTGAATGCCCCAACATTGGAAGTCTTTAAGAAGATGTTGGATAGCCATTTGTCTGAAATGGTATAGGGTTTCCTGCCTAGGCAGGGAGTTGGACTAGAAGACCTCCAAGGTCCCTTCCAACTCTGCTATTGTATTGTATAAGTGCTACTGCCAGCAGAGACAAGAGGCATATTTTGAAGAGAGTCAAGAATGTCAGTGAGGACTGATGTTGATGCTACTATACATCTTGGCACAAATGATCTGTCCCCAAAAGATGTACTCTCTGTGCAGAATGATTTCCAAAACTTGGGGCAGGGACCTAGTAGGATAGGGTTACTTTTTTCAGAGGTTTTACCAGTATACAAGAGGTGGTGGTGGGAAAGGCCAGCATATAGTGGAGTTAAATGTGTGGACGAAGGAGTGATATAAAGGGGAAGGCTTTGGTTATATTACTCACGATGTTTGCAGCTGATCCAACAAAAAACTATAAACGAGATGGTTTGCATCCTTCGAAGAAAAGGACCGAGTTTCTTGGCATTAAATTTACAGATTTTCTGGCGAAACATTTAAACTAAACAATAAGGACAATGAGTTAATCGATATAGAACATTTCTGTCCCCAGCAATCCAAAACTAATAGGGTTATCAGTGCATGTAACATAGATGTTTATGCAGGTAAGAATATCAACCTTGCAATCAAGCAAAATCAAGCTTTTAATAGTGAGTGCCATACTAAGTGTACTAATCAAACAGGAGATAAGGAAGTAGGGGAACTCAGGCACACAGGTTATGTAGAATGTAAACACAGGGTCCATCAAAAAGAACTCAAATGTCTATATACCACAGAGTGTACAGACTATGAGCAATAGACAGGGTAAATTAGAAATTCAAGTAAATGAGGGTGAAAATGATATTGTTGCCATTACGGAAACTTCATGGGATGAAACCCCAAAAACTGATTGGGTTAGCAAGCCCTGGGACCCTATCTACTTTTTAAGGATGGATAATACATATGGTATTGTACATGGCTGAGACCCCCCTCTCCAAGGGAGATGTCTGATTAAAAAATATGAAAAATAAAAAAATAAAATAAAAACATGCAAACAGAGATTTGAGAATTTTTTCCCCCTTGGTACAAGAAGATTGCCACAATACAATGCTTCGCAATCTCCAATTTCTATTTTTATTTATTTCAGTTTGCTTGGTATATTATCTATGAAAGGTTAAATATATTAGTTATCTGCTGCTTACCAAAGCTACCAATCCATTACTCTAGAGAATGCCATAAAAGCATGATATAATAAGTATAAATAGATATGTTTCAGTTAAATTGTTATATAGTATGAAGAGAACAGTAATTTTGTGTTAGTACAAATACAGATTAGATATGTCAGCAGTTTATTGAGTTGCAAATAAATTCTAGTAAAAGCAATCTAACTGTTGAAGAAGCACATTTGTTAATCATTAGGAAAGCAATTCAGAACTAAATTGCTGATATAACAACATACTCATATTAATATATGGTTAATATTACATTTGGAGTGTTGTGTAATGTTCTGATCACTAACCTTTGGGAAAGATATCAAAATATGAGGAACCAAAATTAGGAGACGGTGAGTTTAAAGCATATGAATTATTATTTTTAGCTTAAAACAAAAGAAAAAATGGGAGGAATAAAAACATATATAAAACAATGGACATAATAGATAACAGGGAGAGACTTTTTCTTCCTAATTCACAATCGTACAATTAAGTCATTTTTGGGAACTAAATATGGAGGGGGGAATTCAGGATCAGCAGAAGGAAATCCCTCACCAAGGGGCATAAGAATAGAATGGTGGCAACGGCAGCAAATTCAGATTGTTTTAAAAAAAGAAATTGTAGAGGGTCATTGAGAGTCAGTTTATCAGTGGCTACTTATATTATTGGCTGTTTACCATCTCTTGAATCACAAACGGTATGCATTCTATTCTGATTTCTGAGAACTAACAACGGAAGGGATTTGTCATCTTCTAGCACAGGGAAGATGGCCATTATGTGACACCACCTATGGACCTATGGTATATCTAACAAGACTTTTTTTGTGTTGTTATGCTCTTAAACCTTTCTTGACCCCTCCCAGATAGCAGCTAGAGTAATAAAAGAAAGTTTATATTAGCAAGTGAAGAGCAAAGCATTGAGAAAAGAAGACCTAGTAATTTGCTGGTGTTATGTTATCAAAATAATGCTGTGCTTTTCAAAATAAAATATTTTTGCTGAAATATCCTGTTGATTTGAGGATCCAGTGTGGCTTCTTATCTCAAACAATTTCTGCTACCTACAATTGAAGAATAAAACTTTTACTCATTGCTTGGTGGTGTTCTTTCTCTAATGAATTTTTAAAATATTTTTCTTGGCAATCCTTGGTCTTCATTTGGTATTTTTAAATGGAATAGCCTCCGTCATACTTTGCTTACCAAGTCTTTGTCTCTCTTTCACATGACCTCTTCCTCTCCACCTTCCTAACCCAACATTTTTCTCAGATTAACTCTTTATGCTGACTAATAAGAATGTTGGGAGTTTCACAGCAGCTGCATATTTGAAAAATAATATGGTGGAGATTTAAGTAAAAAAAAAGATCATTCATAGCTTTTATATCTGGTAAAACTAGGTATAAAAGTCAGTCTTATATGGCAACAATAGGCTTTCGGTTTTAATACAACAGATGAGACCCCTTCTAGGGTTTGTTTCATCCCATTACCTATTTGCTTTTCATTGAAAATGATTCTAACAAATTAAATGGCTGTGCATTTGCAAACATAATCAACACATTTCTATGGGTGTGTGTGAATGCAACAACACATATGGATGAACAATTCTGTCCACTTTGTAATCCTAATCATCTGCATGAGTGGTGGGTTTCAATTTTTTTAGAACCTATTCTGTAGGTGTGGCCTGTTTTGTGGGAGTGGCTAGGCAGTCACGTGACTGGGTGGGAGTGGCTTGACGGTCATGTGACCAGGTGGGCATGGCCAAGTTGGAAAATGTGGTGAAACTCACTTAACAACGCTCTTGCTTAACAACCAAAACTTTGGGCTC